TTGACAATTGTTAAAATTAATATCAGCATTTAATTTTTTTTCATGTTAATTAATACCAAAAAAAAAAAAAGTGTAACAAATACATCCTTAAAGGTGGATTACAATTTTGGTCTAGAGGAGTATAGGAGTTAATGTTTCTTCTAGGTCGTTGTATTATTTTGAATAGGCTTAAAGGTCTGCAGTAAATACAAAACTAGGTGAGTTGTGTTTTGTTGCTACCCTCTGCCAAGCAGATGATTCTTATGTTAACATGTTTAGTTCTCCTTTCCTACTTTTAGGTGCTTTTGATGTTTCCTTTTAACTTTTTTCAAGCAACACATAAATAACGATAGATTTCTTGGCTTCTGGGTATACAGTTGGGGGATTCCATGCAAACTGCATCAAAATCAGGTCCATGGAAAAAGGTAAGATACATATTTTGCATTTGTGTAAGACCTGTGACTGTTTCTGTTAATCACAACTATATTTTTGTTAAACTGATATTCCAGTATGCTTTCTGGTGTATGGAACAAGTTTTTATGGTACGAAGTCTCACTAAATATTAATTGCTATCAGAATATACTTGTAATGTAGATCTTTTTGTGAAAGTTCTTGCCACAAGGGAAGCACATTTCTGAAAATAGAGTATTCAGATTGGACTTTTTATAGTCATCAAAGGAATTGGTAGTCAATATTTTCAAGATCAGTTTTATTAATGCCCATGCGTTAAGTTACTTAAAAGTCGACTGCCACTAGGAATACCCTACTGTTTCTTATCATTAGTTCACCTTGTTTTGACCGATGAATTTATTGATCTTTTAGTTCATTTCTTTTTTACTGCCAGATGCTTCGATCCAAGGATGCGAATTTTGTTGGCTATACATACAAGAATTATGAAATTGTCAACGAGCATCATATCTCTGGCATTGGTACGGATCATCCTACAAAATAAGATCAGATAGAAAGCCTGCAATAATGAAAACTGAATAGGCTTCACAAAGATTTCTTCCTATTTGGACTGTCATATATGGAACTAATAAGCTTAATACAAAGTAGTTTTCCTGTCTTTTACGGAACTCGTTAACCTGTAAGTTTGTTTGTCTGGAGACATTTCTCATTGCACTAACGTCACATGTATTTGATTGCAGCTGAGTTGAAGAAAAAGACTAAAGCCAAAAAACCATCTCTCATGTCATTGTTTGGTACAATTCTTTTTCCCTTAATTGTCTAAAGTTGCAAGCAGTTTCATGTGTTTGACTTCTCCATTCATTTTTCACAGAGACGCCTGATCGTTCTGACCAGCCAGTCCAAGTAAGCTCTCTCAATCCCTTGCCTACGCAATTTGAGGTCTCTGAAAGTCCTGAGCCCCAACATCAGACTACAAAATTCTCCCAACGTCTACAAAAGCATGGGCAAAGATAAAACTGAAACCGTACGAAGAAACACTGTTGCCAATTAGTAATAGAACATATCTAAAATGTGTTTAAAAATTTAAATGCATCTTTGTTTCATTGTTTCGTATTAGGCTATAGCATGAATACGTTGAAAAACAGAATTTGAGTTTTATTTGTAACATGTAAATTGTTGGGTGGTTAAACTGGCTCCTCTTTTGTTTTTGTTTTTTTTTTTTTTTTTGGTATTAGCCTCTCTCAATTTCTGGCTCGTATTAGTATGATTCTCAAAGAACTAGTTTAACTAGTTAAATGCTCAAACTTTCAATGTAAAAATCTCATATTTGAATCTTAAATCAAGTCAATTTAGTGCTAATGGGCTGAGTGCTCTATGTCACCTGTCTTGACCTAAGCATGGGTTTTTTTATTTAAAAAAAAAAAACCATTTTGTTTTGTTTTTTTAATTTTTTTTAACAAATAAAGAACACACAGTATTGATTGGTTGTTAAAAGTCAACAAAAAAACAAAAAAAATCCTAAACACTAATCATTTATGGTTTTCTACAACTTCAGTTCTTCTTCTCCTTCCTTTTAATTAATTGATTTCAGTTATATTGACTCTAAACTTCTATTAAGTTTTGTTAATTAATTGATATTAGACTTTTAAGTGAATTTTTTTAAAATTTTCCCAAATTTTGTAAATTTCAGAATTTTTTTAAAGGATAGCGCAAAAATCGTGAAGGTAGTTCGGGAACCGCCTAGGCTCTAGCGGAAGTTTGCTGCCTAGAGGCACCAGCGCCTTCAGTGATACTGCATTTAGCTGCCGACAATTTGTCGGAACGAGAGGTGTTTGTTTTCTTTTAAATAAAATTTCATGTCAGAATTTTATAAATGAAAAAATAGATGTTGAAAAGATTTTTTTTATAGGGTATAATATGATTTAATTTTGAATTAATTAAGATTTAATATAATTATTAGATATTGAAAATTAATAAAAAAAATATTACATTTAAATAAAAAAATTATTTTTTTGTATAATTTATCATTAAGTATATTAAAATAAAAACTCACTCTCACGATATAAGAGTAACCATAGGACTCAAATTGCCGATTAAAAAAAAAAAACCTATAGGACTCAAATTCACTCTGGCAATTTAAACGCTTCATTCAGAGGTTTGATATTGTAGTAATTTTTTAACAAAAAAAGAAAGGTTGCTACTTTGAGTATTCAGGCAAAAGTAATAGTCTAAAGAAATCTAAAAATTTAATTGGAGAACTTTGGAGTTTGGACCCAAAAAATAAAAATAAAAAAGAAGTAATAGTTTTGCATCCGGAATTCGACTTCTAAAAGGATTTGTAAATCTCTAAACACAACCGAACTTGTTAACCCTATAAATTCCTCTTCCTCTTTTATTTTTGTCATTGTTAATTTCTTGTTCTTCTGCCTGTTCCTTGTTTTCTTTTTCCTCTCTATCCTGTTCTGTTCCTTCAATGGAAGAGACGAGCCCAACTCCGGCTGATTCTCAAAGCATAAACTCCATGGACACCCTCTTGACGTCTTTTGAGAATCTTCATGTCAACAATCTAGGGTTTCAGGTTAACAATCATGGGTTTCCTTCTCAATCTCCTGCTCCTTCTCCTTCCAATTATGGGTCTGCTCTGTGGCCGTCCTGTTTTCAGGACTCCCTCTGGTCTGCTTCAACTCTGCAGTCCCCATTCACACGTGGATGTCACCCTTCTCTCAATGCCTATGGTGCTTACCCCAATCATCATTCCCTGACTGCCATGAACACTGCTGTTCATAAATACGATTTCGAACCCAAGTCACAACTTGTGCAAGACAAATCAATAATTCAACTGGCATTGACTCTAGACGGTTCTCAACGGCTTCAGAGCCTTCTGCTTTCCAACGACGTTAGCTGGGTCGACATCATATTCGAAGGAGTAATTGGGTATATATTCCGTCTCATGGCCGACCAGTTCGGCCATCAAGTCTTTGGAAATCTGATTCAGTTCTGTGATGAGTATCAGCAGCAGATAATGGTAGAAAATTTAACTGCATATCCCGACGCATTCATCGAAATATCTCTGGACAGATACGGCTCTCCCTCGGTTAAAAGACTCATCAAACTTTTGCAGAAATCGCCTTTGGTTACTGATCTTGTGAACACTCTATGCACTGGATTCTATGACTTGATGATTCACAGGACAGGATCCCATGTTATATTGTATTGTCTAGACACGCTCGATCCCGAAGACAACAAGCCTTTTTACGAAGCAGCGATCAGCAACTCTTTAAAACTAGCCACACATCAGAACGGATGCTTGTCCTTGAACAATTTCATCACCTTAGTCAAAGGTCACTACAGAAATCAGTTCCTGGAATGGGTTTCTAAGGAAGCAGTATGCCTTTCCAAGGACCCTTTTGGGAACTTTGTGGTGCAGCATGTCCTGGACCTCCATCACCCTCACTTCACCAGGAAAATATGCTATCGTCTACAAGATCACTACACGAAAATCTCGATGTTGAAAGGCGGCAGTCATGTGGTAGAAAAATGTCTCAAGACTTCACATAGGGATTGTGCAGTTGTTGAATTTATCAACAGTGACCAACTGGTGCAGGTGTCCAAGGATCAGTTCGGAAACTATGTCATCCAAACAGCATTGAAGGAAACCAAAAGTGTGAAGAGTCCGCTATATGAGAGACTTGTGAGCAAACTGAGATCAAATTCTGAGGCTCTGCAACGCGGACATGGAAAGAATGTGCTGAATTTGATCCATGCACCCCAGATGAATTCTTCTTCTTTTTAGTTTGATTTGCTGCAGTACTTTTGTTTAAGATACAAGTAGGTTTCACTGTTGAATTGTTTTGGGATTGCAGTGCATAAAGATTAGGATATATTGATTGAAATCTGTGTGAATTAATGTGCAACTAAAGGGGAGAAGTTCTATTTCGGAGTTGGGAATTTTGATGTAGTAAGCAACTTGACTGTTTCTTGTTACAATTTGATTGAATGTACATCTCCAAAAGATCCTATTGTCTTATATTTGAACGTTATTTTGTTATACTCTCAACATAAAGCCCAGACATAAGGCATGAAACCCAACAACAATATCAGGGACCAAACTCAAAGAAATCATGTAGTATTTTTTTTTTTTCTCTTAAGTTGTATAATAGGAGAAAACTTTTTTTCATCTTTTAATCTATTTTATCTGTATGTCATAAGATTTAAGTTTTAAATTTTTTATTTTTATTAAAAAAAATTATTACTAAATTATTTAAACCAAAATTATAGAGTATTATACTGCCCAAGATATTACTCATGGTTTCATGCCTTTGTAATGTGCAATGTGGTATGCCCAAGAGGAAAGGATACGGGATGAGAATGGCAGAATTCGTTGTTTGGACTTGATGGATTATGCGGGCCGAGGTATTTTAGGCAGTTGGGTCTGCGAGTAAGGTTCTTGGATAATAGATACTCTAGTAGCTTAGTGGGTTTTGTGAGGATAGCAAATATATTTGGGCCTTTCACAACATACACGACAGCCCGTAGGAATCAAGCATTATTCCGCCAATGAAAAATTCAGAGCCCACATGGCTAATGTTTTCTAGCCCCCCGGGGAGCCCATATGAAATTTGATGTGAATTCTAGGTTGAGGAGAGGTTTGCACGGTTCAACATGTGATAAAAATAACATAAAATTTTGTGTGCAGGTTGATAAGATTAACTATCCTATGGGAGTTCATCTCTCCTATATAATGATTTTAATTTTATAATTTGATATAATTTAAATTATAAAATTAAAACTTAAAAAATAATATTTAATGCAAATCAAAAGATCATTAATTTGTATTAAAACGGTAATCGATCACATAAGAATCAACATAATTAAGGTTTGACCAAAGAAACATGTTTTGAAGACATAAAATAATGATGTTTGATATGGATGGCCAAAAAATATATGATGTTTGATATGCGTGTGTTAAGGATTTTGGGTTTGCGATAAGAAGGTGAAAAGAGCAAAGTGGTGACGAGGCTTTTTATGCATGACAATTGCCATCAACCCGACTCCATTTCTTTCTTTTCAAAATCATGACTAACAGTCTCAGCCATAAAACCCAAGTTGTTGCCGCCCATTTTCCTTCTAAAGAAGCATTCATGACCCCTCTCATATCGTCTCCTTGAGCTTTTGAACTGTTCTTTTGCTCTGTTGAAGTGACTTGAGTTGAAACTCGAAAGGATTGATATATTGTAGTGATAGATTTGACAGAACTTAAGTCACTATTTTCACCATAATCTATCCACAACCAAGTTTATTTTTCTTCCACAAACGTCATTAGTATTTTCAGTGTCACACAGTAAGCTTTTAACATGGGCAAATTATTGCCACAGAAATATAGAATGTTAAAGTCACTAAAAA